GCTGTCCCTGGGCCTCAAAGAGCCTGTTCCTCAGCGTCGACCCCAAGGAAGGACCCGCTGTCCCTGGGCCTCAAAGAGCCTGTTCCTCAGCGTCGACCCCAAGGAAGGACCCGCTGTCCCTGGGCCTCAAAGAGCCTGTTCCTCAGCGTCGACCCCAAGGAAGGACCCGCTGTCCCTGGCCCTCAAAGAGCCTGTTCCTCAGCGTCGACCCCAAGGAACCGGCCCTGAGTTGGCCAAGCCTGGAGCATAGGGCTCACACTTCCCATCCACCACCCACAGCGCCACGCCTTCTCTCGGGGGCAGGAAACACCACGCATTACTTGGTCCCTGGACTTGCCCAGACAAGGTGAGAAGAGGGTGAAAGTGCCCCCCCCCCAAAAAAAAAAAAAAAATTAGTAATCCCATCCAGGAGTCCTTCTCCGAGATGTCAATTTCACAGAATATTCCTGTGTGTGTGATGGGGGGGTGTTTTCTGTGAGCCTGCTTTGTTCCCTTTTCTGGAAATAGCTGGTGACTGGATGTTGGAAGACTGTAGTACAGCTCCAGTAAAGGTTTTGACACACCTACCCAAAAAAAGCATGATTTGCATGATTTTCTACATTTTAGAAGACATCAAAACTATATTATATAGCATATATGAATTATACACTGACCAAAAAAAGCATTAAACAAAAAAATAATTAATTTGTTGGGGGGGCAATTCTGTGGGTTGGGACTCAGAAGGTTGCCAGTTCAAATCCCTGGGTCAGTAGACTGTTCCCACCATTGGGGCCTTGAGCAAGGCCCTTAACCCCAATCACCCCAGGGACTGGCTGGTGCTACTGTCTCCTCTATGCCAGTTTCATGAGGCGGCCTCCTGGGATGCTGTTCCAGCTGTCCTGAAGGAGGTCCCACATAAATGCTGAGCTCTCATTGGCCACTTTCCCTTCACTTTCTGGTCAAACTCCACCAAAACCATCCCTACTGTGTTCAGGTCAGGTGGCCAGGTCCTGTGGTGAAACACTAGCACTCTCCTTTGTTGGCGGCTTGGCGTGTCCAACCGTTTGACTGGTACTGTACTTATGCTGTAGCTTATTCTTAGTAGTTAATGATTTAAAATGGGAAATGGGAGGCAAAAAACCGGAGAGGCCATGACTCCACCCACAGCGCCCCACCCAGACCTCCACCACAAGCACAGTGACAGGAACCCTAATCCTCTTTCAGATGGAGCCTATACGCTGACACTTCCTTTCGCTGTCATCCATCCCTTCGTTGCCATCGGCACCTTTGCCTTCCCCGCTTGCTCATGGCCCGGGCTGCTCCTTCCTCCGTGTCGGAACACGCCCGGGTTCAGACAGACTGTGCCGGCGCCTCCCCTCTACTGGGCAGCAGCAACAGCCTCTGAAACGCTTTAAAGCCACAATCCCACCTCAGTGCGACAAGCAGGGCATTTTCCCAAATTCCCAAGCCATCAGGAACACGTGGGGTGTTTTCGCTGAATTCCCAGGCCACCGGGAATATGTAACCAGTCACGGGGAAGAGTCCATCCCTTGGTGCATAACATTTCTGACTAGAGCGGCCAGCAAAGCCACCCCCTGCTCATTTGGTACGACCCGATCCCCGATGACACACCCTTAACCCTAATGGGAGTGCATTCCCTGCAGGGCCTCACTACAGAGTAACAGACCAAGCCTGTCTGGTCCCCTTACCAAACCCATATAACACACTGCACCGGCCCATTCCGAAGAACATCATGTTGCCAGCCCGTTAAAACAAATCCCTTGGGAATCAACAATACTATGAAAAATGTCTCAGAGACCCAGGCAGTGTACGAGCTAGAAGGTTCTGCAGCCGCAGAGATCAGACTGGGGCCGTGGTCATGTTCCGGTGCTGTGAGTGGAGCAGGTTGAGCCAGGGAAAGTCAAGAAACCGGGTATTGGCCGATCCTGGAACGACATGAATGAGTAATGTGGAAACAATGAGCTGCTGCAAGCAGAGATCACCTGGGCCAGGCTCCATCTGCATCTGCACTTTCTAAAACCATGTGACCTGCTGGAAATGCACCCTTCATGACATCGCTGTGAGTTAATAACTAAATTACTGCTCTGCTGATGTCACAGATGGGATTCCTGAGCTGCCGTATCATGTCGCCCAGTCGTACCACAAATGAGTCACATGACCAACCCGGCACAGTGCTACCACATAGAAAGCATACCTTGAGTTTCTCACACACCTCAAGTTGGAGGTTTACCTGAATCTGGTTTTGAATGAGCTCCAGGCCCCTTAGTAGCTGAACTTCTGAAGGTGTGACGCGTGGCACAGAGTGAAATGGGCACAGAGATGCCCAGTTTAGGTCTGGATCGAGACACAGCAGAGGCTGAAACTCCACAACGCCGGGGGCAAAGTGCCCTCCCCTGTTTCAGGTTCCTGTAGACCACTGGTTCCCAAACTTTCTCTGCAGGGCCCCCCTTTTCTAGATAGGAACATTATTGAGCCCCCCCCCCCCATTCAAACTACACAGGTTCACATTAAAACTTCATTTGAAATACAACTACCTTTTCTAATTGAGCGAAAAAAATGCAATTACAAAATACAAATGGTGCAATTTCACCACTGTGGGAGAAACAAGAGCAATCAATTAAAAATAAAAGTCCAGCATAAGTTTGAAATTATGCAAATGAAGATTTAACATTCCTGTTAATATTCATTGGCGTACACAAATAAAAGTTTGTCATAGGATTAACGCATTTTTTTTTATATAATTAATGCTATACTATAGCACAAAACAACACTAAATCATACCCATTAATTGATAGTCTTCCTGCACTTCATGTAGAAAATTTTAAACTTCGTTTTTCCTGATATGGTTAGATTTTTTTGTCTGGCGCTGCAAAACGTCATCACGCGTCACCATGTCACATGGTACAAAAACCTTGCAAGAGCAAGACGACTTAAGACAGATCATACAGCACCTCTCAGCCGGCTGAACAAACAGGAACTGCCTCCGTGACGACACAACTTTGCCCTTATTGGCTGAAGAACGTGACGTTTGTATGACGTTTGTATCCCAGGCAGTTCCGATGCGTAATCTGCTATTTCTCCTGAATATCACGTAAAGCAGTGAGAACTGGTTTTCAGTTAATTTACCTGGCAAAATAAAGTTTAAATAAATGACATAAATGCTCTAATAGTACACGTAAGTTAGTGGTTTATTTATTGTTAGTTACTGTAATGTTGCCCTGCTTTATTTGGTTAATCGTCCAGTCTGTGAAGAGATTATGTTAGGGTGGCACATGCCCCTGAGGCTATCCCATTGGTGCGCCCCTCCGCAATAACTCTGTGCCCCTCTAGAGGGGCGCGCCCCCCCAGTTTGGGAACCACTGCTGTAGACTTTTCATTTTCACTGCTGTTTTTAGGCTCGGTCTGACTTCCCTGGAATTGCGCTCTTGGAATAAGAAATACCAGCATGCCACAGTCTAGGGGAGACAAGCCATGGCATGACAGACCCAAAGTCACATCTTCAACTCATTTCCTCCCGCTCAGAGGGCGGGGCAACAGCACCTGGTCAGGTAACCCACTAAATCACGGACTCCAGAGTCATCGTGGCGAGCCAGCGGGTGCAGTGACACACTCTGGAGGCTTGGGATGGTGCACTAATTAATGCAGCCAGACCTACAGCCCCAAAATTTGGGCTGCCATTTCTCGCCTTTGGCCCAGTTGGCCGCACTTTCCCACAGAACCAAAGGAGCTCTTTGTGGACCTGGCTGCAGACTGCAGATGCTCTCCAGCTACTTCTCCATCCTGGGTTACAAGAGGATCCATCAAATGTGCTTCCAGATCCACTGACAGCCCCTCCCTCAGACTGCAGTTTATATTTTGCTGTGTTTTTATCCCTACTGGAGTATTGGGGTGTGTGTGGTGGGGGGGGGGATGTGGGCTCTCACAAAATATCAGATCAGAAATGTATGTAAATACTACCACTTTATGCAGTCATTGTTGATGTATGAAGAGCAGATCTAAGTTTCAGCTATTCCTGTCAGACCACTCCTCTGTAACCCAGAAAACAGATTCCCTCACCCCCCTTTCTCATCAGATTCACCCCACCGGGTTCACCTTACCAGAAGCCTGATATCTAAGAAGGCTGACCAGCCTTCTATAACACCACTGCAGTTAGACGCGCTGCAAGTGTTCCTGCTGAAACCTCAAAATGGAATTGTTTTGAATTATTCATGCCTGGGGTTACATGGGCGCTCTTGCAGGCCAGGCCGCTATACTTACCGGGGACTGTGCTCTGTGCCAGGGCTGTAACTCCTGAGCGGTAACCGGCTCATGGGGGACACCCTTCTTCAGCCCCTCGGTGGGGGAGAGTGAGCTGCGGCTCCTCCGGATGGGCTCGGGGACATCCTTGCTGGCTGCTGTACTGTTGATCTTGCGCATGTAGACCTCAGCGGGGCTTGGCTTGCCTGTCCGTGATGCTACTCCAGTGGTTGCGGCGCTGGGGTTGGCAGTCACTGCATCTTCTACATCCAGTACCGTAGTGGCCCGATATGCTCGCCACGTGGTTGCAGACTCCGCTTCTTCCTCAGACCCATCCACCCTGGTTCCTGAACCACTGCTGTCCACCGAAGCCACTCCCTTCTTCTTCCACGTGCTCCTCACAGTCACATTCTTCATTTCAGGAAGAGAATCATCCCGCAACCCATGAGGTGGGTGGGACCTCCAGCTTGACACTGTAGTGTTGGTGCCGGTACTGCTGCTGCTCTCAAACCCAGACTCTGTGTCATTGTTGACATCTGGTGCCTTCTCCGATGACTTCCAAGTGAAGCTACGCTGAGGTACAATCTGGGCTTCTGAACGAGCTGGTTCACAGTCTTCGTTGTCCAATGGAGGCCGAAGGGTGATCTCACTCTTAGGGATGGAGATCTCATAGGGGATAGAGATGCTGCCACGATGCTCACTGGGGGTTATAACGATGTTGCTTGTGTGCCTCTCTCTAGCTGGTTCGCTTGACACACTGCTGCTCCTACTATTGCTCCGAGAGCAGCTGGGATCGCTGGGGTAAATTGTGATACTGCTGGTCATCTTGCTAGGCATGGAAGGCTTGGAGGAGATTTTAGGCTTTCCACTGGACGGCAGAGGCTCTGCCCTGCCAACAGACACCATCAGCTCCTTCTTGTCGATCTCTACAATGGCCGGCTTGATTTCTGCCTTCGACATCAGTGCCTCCCGTGGGCTACACACTCGGCGAATTTCAATGCCCGAAGGAGTGTGCGTCAGTTCCTGGGAGTTAGTCTCTGCCACCAAGGATCTACTTTGATCGTCTTCAAAGGAACTTCTTGTGGATGAGCCCCCAGACCGAGACTCCTGCAAGCGTGCGTGCCTGGAGTACTTAGAAGTAGTGGTCCTGCCACTCATCACAGTTACATCAGGAGCGGGCTCTCCCTCTCCTGCTGAGCGCCTAGACCCTGTGGACTCAGTTTCTGAGGCTGACGAATGGCCCTCAGACCCCTGGTCACTTGGCAACAGCTGTGATACACGTGGCGTGTAAGCAGTATAGGGTCCATTAGCTTTGGAGGGGCTGGAGGTGACTGTAGGGTCCTGTGATTGTTCCAAAAGTTCCCTTTCAGGCGGGGGTGTGCTTGACACCTTCCGTGACTCTTCTAGCAACACATCTGAACTGCTGGAATTATTATTGCCATGTCTTGATAATTTGTCAGCCTGGCCCCTTTTATCATTCTCATTTGGTTTCACAGACTTCCAGGGTTTCTGGTCATTAGCTGCTGGAGGGTAGCGGCTAAGCACTGAAGGCTTCCTACAGTCACTCAATGACACACCAGTAGAGGTCAAGGTCCCACTTGGACTTTTCTCCTCAGGAGTCCTCCCCCTCATCCCAAAATCACTGGAGGGATTCGTTCTCTGTGATTTCTTGAGCTTATGTGCAGGACTAAGGGCCCGCTTTGAGGTTTTAGGGGAGCTCTCAAACAAGTCCTGGGTCCTCAGTGGTTTCTCTTTTCTCTGCTGTGGTGAAACTTCTCTGATTTTGTGCCTAGAGACTGAAGACTCAGCTAGACTCCTGTATTTGGGTTTTTCTTGCCTAAACCCTCCCCGCACGTTGATCTCCTCATTCTCTGCCTTTCCATTTTCAAGCACCCGGTCTTCAACACCTCCAGCATATGTACTGAGCTGCATTTTCAGCTGTTCCACTTGGTCATTCAGGGCCTTGCTACGATTCTTCTCCTGCTGAACCTTCTCCAGTAGTTCTTCATTTTTGTACTCAGTCCTCTTAAGATCCTCCTGTAGTGCCTCTAACTTCTGGAGCCTCTCAGTATCAATGTTTTTCAGCTTCTCATTTTCTTGCAACAAATCTTTAAGTTTATTATCTTCCTGGTTCTCTGAACTGTTCTTCTCATTCTCTGATTTATTTCTCAGGCTAACATCATCAGAGAGTTTTAGCAAGTCAAAGCTCTTCTTCTGAAGGCTAAGTTTGCTAGTCAAGCCTGGAGACAGGTCATCCTCAATGCGAGGGTCACCAGTATCTGTGGGCTGCTCCTGAAGAATGGAAGTGTTCCTGCTCTGGTTGGCAGAGTTGACCCTGTTGTTGTTCTCAAGTTTCTCCGTAAGCTCAAGGATCAATTTCTCATCCTCCCGCTGCTTCTCCAGCAACCTCTTCCTCTCACTCACGAAGGCCTGAGTAAGGGTCTTGAGCTTCTCCAGCTCCACAGTGAGGGCTTGTTCTGCCTTGTCCAGGCGACTCTCAGAAGAATCCACCTCCTTTATTCGTGCCTTGAGGGCCTCCAGCTCAGAGGAGAGCTTCTTAGTCAGATTCTTCTCCTCATTGAGGCTGAGGCAGAGTTGAGTGCAGTCCAATTTGCTCTTGCTGAAGGCCTCCTCGAGCTTCTCTAGCTCAGACATTCGCCTCTGCAGTTGCTCAGTCTCAGACTTGAGGTTTTTGGTGAGGTTCTCCTCTGCTTCCAGCTTTTCACCAACAAGTCGGCAGAGGTCCTCGGCCTTGCGCACCTCCTCATCCTTCCCCTCAATCTTCAGCACCCGCTTGCGAAGAGCATCAACGTCATTCAGAAGGGCCGAGCTACTGCCCTCAGACTGAATGATCTTATCCTGCAGGTCCAGCAGCTCATCCTCAGACTTCTGGAGCTTGCTGGCTGCCTCCTCCAGCTCATCGAGACGCCGGCTGAGGCTCTGCAGCTTATGTCGTAGGTGCCGATTCGTCGTGTCTTTGAAATCCGCCATCGTGTTGGCTTTAATTCAGATGGATGCACTTTAAAGCCGTCTGATGGGTCTTCATTTGCACAACAATGTGACAATCTACTTGGGCCCCGTTTCACTAGTCAGCACACTCTCGTTTTATCGCCAAGCTCCACTGTTGGGGACCGTCCCCATCCAAGGGCACCTGGGCCCTTTAGGGTTCTCCACTGACGCCCAGACAACCTAGTCTTCCTGTCGCTGTGTGAAACTTCTGCAGCACAGTTTGTCACAAGGAGTGCCAGTCAGCATGAAGGGCAATGACCTGTAATGGAAAAGATTAGATTGGAGTCAATTGCACAAAGTACAGGTGTAAAATGCAGTTTGGAATCTAATGGCACTTTTCCACCGCCACCAAGCCATACCTGAGCTGATATGGCCCTGCCAAAAGCATGACTAGACTGAGCTGTACCTGTGCTGATATGGCCCTGCCAAAAGCATGGCTAGACTGAGCTGTACCTGTGCTGATATGGCCCTGCCAAAAGCATGGCTAGACTGAGCTGTACCTGTGCTGATATGGCCCTGCCA